TTTTGGACCAGTGAGATTTCACTGTGGGCGGGTCTAGTCAGCATGACACAAACTGACTGACAAACTAAGATTAACATTAAAAATATATATTTTACCACTTGCCACCTTACGTTTTTCTGCCACTTAAGTTTATCCCAGACTCAATATGCAGTGTGTTCCTCAAAGCAGATATAATTAACAGTTTCAGATGTCATGAAATGCTAGTTAATGATGCTGTGGATGAGGATGTGTAGATATACAGTACAAGCAATATCTCTACCAGACCCTCCCTTCAAGTGATGTAGGGTAATATTATCACCACCACTGAAGAGAACATGCACATTGTACATAAAAATTAGCTTTTTAAATAACATATACTTTCAATTCGTCAGAAGTTAATATGCAAACACCATCAGGTACCGAATTTGCATGTATCAGAAGCTGTAAGACTTTTCGAAGTCACTCAACTCACAACATAAAACACACTCATGAATCTTGTCTCCTTTCCACCTTTAAAAATGTGTGATATAATCTTTCATAGCAATATAGTATATGATATAATCTAAGCTGTATTTATTCTAACTGTCTTTTTGTATTTTTTTTTTATACTATACAATTATATTAAAGTCTTGGAATTTTATAACAGCTCTATCTAAAAATATACTTCTTTATGAAAACTGTCAACTCGGAGGAACGGAAATCAATTCCCAAAGGAACCTACTGAGACCAAAAGCCGCTTTACCGTGAGGAGACATCTGTGAAATGGCTTTGATTTAACCACTTTGGCTGTTGTGTTATTAGTGTAATGGGGTAGTAGCGCTCAGAGTGGCTGATTTGCTTTCACAGCACGAAAATATTGTGGGTGTAATGAGGCTTTATGAAGATTGTAAAAGCCTCTTACTGTCACATCAGTGCAGATTCTCTCTGAGGAGAAGCTTCCCGCAACTGTGCAGGAGGTAACAGACGTTCTGTTAAGTGTTTTTAGGTCTGTAATGAAGTGTTAGCATGTTATATCAACCAATGTGTTAATAAAACCATGTCTGAGGCTTTTGCATTGGATTGGGAAGTATCTTGTCAGAAGAAATGAGAATGCTTAGTCAATGAAGATAGCTTCAAACGTCCTCAGAGATCATCCGAAATCCACCCTTATGTGGGCTAGCGAGATGTAAGTGAACTTTATTTCAATTTTAGCCACTATCTAAGGATCCACTTTTGGCCACTTCTAAATTATTTTTAAATAATTTCATAAAAAATAGACAAAACTAATGAGGTTTTTGGTGCTCCGAGGTTAAGTGCTAAAGTGCAACCCAACCTGAACTGAACGATGTCTATTGGTAAGGTTTATCAACGATCTTTTTGAAGGTGTATGATGTCAATCAAAACTATTGTAACGATGACTATGAAGTAGGGCTGCACGATTAATCGCATGCGATATTTAACGCGCATCTTATCAGTAAAGCCGGTTCTGTAATCAGCG